TTAGCTGCATTCAATACCTTTGTTCCACCCAAACTTTTAAGTGTTGCTGCTTTATTTCAAGTTTTAGTTTGAGGGAAGAGGGAGTCCAATATGCAAGTGGCCAACCTGTTAGCTTCAAAATGCTCCGGTTGTCCACTGGGGAGGGGTTAGAGTCCCCATCGGAAAATTAATGAAAGAATAATGGGTTAGACTTTGAGTTGAATTAGCTTATAGATCTGCTTCAATTGTCAGTGCGGTTTGACCAAGTGCCTTCTGACAAAGTTGAGTGACCCCAACTCGGTCCTGTATTATATCTGTTAACATGACTTCATTTAGATTTTAAATGCAAAAACAAGTAATATGTTTTGTTAAAAATTTCTATTTGGCATCTATCTTGCTTTTTACAATGACTTTCTACTGTTTGGTCATGATTCCAATATGAAGAGGATTGTTCTACTGTTGCTCATTCCACATTTTTAAATAGAAATCAGTGTAATAAGGGTTACAATTCAGGTTGTTAAGATTGAGTCGCATGAAGCGGATGATGTTGTAGCTACACTCGTGGCGCAAGTCCTGCAGAAAGGGTTTCAAGCTGTAATTGCTTCACCAGACAAAGATTTCAAGCAACTGATATCAGAAGATGTTCAAATCTTGATTCCAATGCCTGAGTTAGATAGATGGTCGTATTATACTTTAAAGCATTACAAAGCTCAGTACAATTGTGATCCACAGTCTGACTTGAGTTTGAGTAAGTCTTTGTTACTTTACACTTACAGTTTTTGTTCTTGTTATTACATCGAGTTCCCGTGTATGACCTTATGTAACACTCTCTATGGCCCAACTAAAACTTTGCCAATTTTATCCCTTCAGTCCTAGAAGCACTTTCTGCCCGCAACTCGGACAATGCAAAGGCAAGACTTTATGAAAGAAACTCTGAAGGAAAGAAAATATTGAGGAAAATAAATGTGTTCTCATACACAATAAGTTTAAATTTTAAATATGTTCAATTTAATTTTTATCTATTTGTTTCTTTCATATAAATGCTAAGCTATCTAAATACAGATAAATTCAATCATAAGAAAATAACATTGCGTAGCATTTTGCTTCTTCTCCGTAGCATTTTAAGGGACCCAAATACAGACTTAAAAGGAAATAAAAATCTCGACCACAAAATATTCATTTTCATAATCTCCTTGCGAGTCAAACAAGACAAAGTTTTGAGGGATGGACGGTTTGGAGTCTTTCATGAACAAAAGATAGCCAGATTTGATTTCTTGCTTGAATCAATGATAGGCACTAATAACCCACATTTTATCTTTAGCTATACTACTATTTTGTTGTACAAATGGCTCAAATTTAGTAGGTATATTCTATTGTCTAATTCATTTACCAATTTGAGTGGTTGCCTTCAGGATCCATGTTGGGTGATGAAGCTGATGGGGTTCCTGGAATTAAGGACGTGGTTCCTAAATTTGGTCGAAAAACTGCACTAAAGCTCTTGAGAAAGCATGGGAATCTTGAAAATCTACTTGCTGCCGCCACAGTGAGGACTGTGGGTAGACCCTATGTCCAAGACACTCTTACGAAACATGCCGATTATCTACGTAGAAATTATCAAATTCTCTCTCTCAAGACGTGCGATTTTTTTTCATGGTTTAACTTTTCTTTTTGCTTCTAAATTCTTGCCATTCTAATTGCAGTTACATAACATATTGCAGTGATGTTGATGTTCAATTTGATGACAACTGGCTATCTGATAGAGACACTAGTAATGATTCAGTAACTATATCAAACTTGATTCATGACCTAAATAAAGCAAATGGGAAATTTTATGTGGCGTAACAGCCCCCCATGAGGCTTTAAGCTCTCAAAATTAATGGAATTTATCAAGGTAAGAAGTCTGACCTGTTCTCTCTTTTTCTGCATTTATTTTATTTTTCTTGGTAAAGACAGTCAAGGGATACTGTCTTTTAACAAATGTCTACTATAATAACTACGGAGTATGAAGTATTCAGAATTTACAAAAATAGAATAAAATAATCAATGGTTCCTTCACTTGTTGAATCAGTGTTGATTAACAAATGTAATGGAATAACTAGTATAATCAATATTACCATAAATGCCGATTTGAATAATAACAATATCTGATCAGATCTAGTAATTATAATTTTTTACTACTAGCTATGATTTCCATGGTTTCACTAATTCCTTTTAAAATTGTCTTTGTAGAATTGCAGAAGAAGAATCAACGGTTTGTGGCGAAAGTGGACTAAAATGATGTCTTTCATTTTCATATTTATTTCATCCATTTACTGATATTTGAGTTCAAGTGCTATGTTGTAAGAGGGAGAGTGTGGTGAAGTAATCTCAGGAGACCACAGTTGATCACTAACTTGAATTTTGAACTCCTAAGATTACAGTAGTTGTGGGTAAGTTTTGTAGTAGAAAACCTACTGTTCAGGGGGCAACTCCTTGTCAAAGCTAAGAGTGTGCGAGTGTATGTTATCTCGAAGCTTGGGAAGCATGGCTCGCGACTCTGGGTTAGGCAACAGCCCAAGTGTAGCAACAGACGCAGCTAGCCAGCCAGCCACAGGCCAATAGGCCTGGTCTGGCACATCAAGAGGCAAGAGCTGAGTAGTCCAACTTGGCCGACGCGTCTATTTCAGCTAAACGTCCAACAGGGCTAAAGAAGGATCTCTAGTAACCGACATAATAGGTGATTCTATTGCATAACGGGTCATACCATGCATTAGGACACGCCCTCAGCGGTTTCCGGAGGCTTATAGAGCATATCGAGATTGAGCTGACCTCTACCAGACTACCAGTCACATTTCCCTCCATGTCGCCATCTTTAAATATACCAGCCTCCAGGCTTCAACACTCGGACAAAAGGTGGCAATGTAATTGGAAATATTATGTACTCCATTTACACCGATTCTATCCTCATGAGTTTTTCTTGAAAAGCTTTTTATGAATTATGAGACAATGCATCAAAATAAAGCAGGATTAATAATTGTGAGTTGACTATGATTTCATCCATTTTGGCTCTCCTAATATGCGAGTTGAATTATTCCTTACAAATTAAAATGTTCTGCATCCACTGTCCACGTACACTATTGTCAATAAACTGAACAAAGTTTCCATATAACATATCCTGATATGCAATTTCAATATTTCTATGTATAAACCAAACTAAATCTTTTTGCAAATACTCCGTCGTGCGGAACAGAGTGCTCGATTTTATTACAACTCCAAACTATTAACCTATACATTTATAATATATTACAAAAACATTTTCAATCTAGCACATTTGGTCAACAGAAAATGAAAGTTCTGATAAGAAAATAAGAATCAACATAACACCGTACTAGTGATAGCAAACCAAGGCAACTTAGATTTTCAAATTTTAAAAAGAACTATTTACTACTAAGTCATGCCTAATTATACACACGCCTGAGCATACACATATATGTAAATGTAAATATAAATGCATATGTATATATAGAGGAATATTCAGGTCAGTTCGGACTGACAGGAAATGTCATTTGATCAAGCCTGTTTGAGGGTCTTTTAGCTCGAGCTTTTTGATGAAATTGTGTGAGCATGTTCTTCATGTAGTGTAGAACATTCACACAAAATTTTAGCTTAAAATTCAATCGGGAAGTCAGTGAAATAAATTGTTGAAAAACTCTGCATTTTTATGCATATTTTTGCGCAATATGTTTGGATAATGTATTTAACTGACTTCCCTATTGCATTTTAAGCTAAAATGTTGTGGAGATAATTTACTCTTCATGAAGAACATGTTCACAATTCTATCAAAAAATCCACCACAAATGGTATCAACCGGAGGACGATTTCGGTGAGTTCGGTTTGACAAAAACATTACTCTATATGTATGAGTAAATTAGTGAGCAAAACAAGAGAATCTCTATTGTCACATCAACATACTCCATCGTGAATATGTTGACTTGCTCACTATAACTTTGATATAGGAAAAAAATTATGTCAAGGACCCGTCGTTTGGTCGCCGCCGTTTGGGCCGTTTCTGGTAGATTTTTTATGTATGTTCTTCATCAAATCTAGTTTATTCACACCAAATTTCAATTAAAAATTTAATCGGGATAAAGTCAAATGATTTTCGGAAGATAACTAACTGCATTTTATATGTATATAAAGAGCGCAATTAACTTCCAAAAATCATTTGACTGTCTTCTCGATTGAATTTTTATCTCAAATTGGTATGAGTAAAATAGGAAGAACATGCACAAAAAATTTCAGCAAAAAAAAAACCACCGGCTGGAGAGGATCATTCCTCCTTTGATATACTACGTTTTAAGGAAATAAAGTTACTGAGGGGTAAATTTTACTGTTTTGACACTGTTTGACACTGCTTCGACACAGTTTTGATATAGATAGTTTACCAAATAAGGAAATGAAAAATTTATTTTGGGATATCCAGATAAAGAAAGTGAGAACTTGTTTCCGGGATGGAGGGAGTATATTGATATACCAATCCCATATTGGTATACCAATATTCGATTTTAAATGATACCACCTAACTTTTTTGTTGTTGGAGAAATGATGCCCTAACTTATAATATTGCGGAATTGTTGTTTGAGGATGGATATAAGAACTCTTGCCCTATCCACAAATTGTAAAAACCAATTTAGGATGTTTTCTTTTGGACTGAAATTTGCTGGTCTGGTCTGGTCTGGTCTGTTTAAGTCTGGTCTGGTCTGGTCTGGTCTGTTTAAGTCTGGTCTGGTCTGGTCTGGTCTGAACTGGTCTGGTAAACGTCTGGTCTCTGTGTATTTTATAACTACGGAAGTCTGGTCTGGTCTGTTTAAGTCTGGTCTGGTCTGATCTGGTCTGTTTAAGTCTGGTCTAGTCTATTTAAATCTGGTCTGGTCTGGTCTGGGACTGAAAACAATCCAAAAGAAAACATCCTTAATTAATTGTAACTTTCTATACAGTATCTAGTTTACTTCATGTTTACAACTCTGATTACGATGGGTATTTGGGAAAACAATTTCAGTGTTGGATAAGTGTGGAAAACAAGCGCCTCTGAAGTATCAAGTTTTTTGGACAACTTGGTGGGTTGAGAACTTAAGAAAGGAGAAGGACCCAGAACAGGCATAAAAGCATAGAAAGATATATACAGATTCAGGGAGCAAGAGGGAGGAGAATGCTGCTAATGGTACAACCATCTTCCATTTCTCACCCTTTCCCTCCATCGCTACACATTAGCAGCTCAATCAGTACTGCAGTTCTTGTGCCAAGATTATCCCCTAACCAAAAGGGGCAAGCTCATAGTCTCACTCTTCACGGTCATAATGGATTCCGGTCATCAGCATCTCCGTCGGTTTCTTGCCTTTTTCCACGGAAAACCGCCAACCGTGCTTCATTTCAGGTTAGACTATTCACTTGATTTCAGGTTATCTTTCAGAATAGATGTTTCAGTTGCTGTTTCCGAGTCCTATTTGATACTTTATCACGTATAGATTTCATTTCAGTTCTGGTTCGACACTTTAGCGTGACTGTGTGCTGAATAGTGTAAAGATCTTACTCCCTCCTGTTTTGAAGGTCAGGAAAAGCTTCTGTTAGAGAATCGCTCTGGTTTATGATGAGCGGTTCATTATACTTTGATGTCACAAAAAGCCAAAAGCTTTCAAAAATAGAAGAAACAAGATCACCTCATGGTTTTGAGCATTAATGTATTGGTTTCTTGATGGGCAGGAATAGCTTCTCCTATAAAATCACACTCTAATTGATTGATGCACTGATCATGCTTTTGAGAATTAATATTTTTTCCTGCACATTCTTTCCTTATTCATTGACAAATTAGGATTTTTGAGACACTTCTCTGAGAAAGGTAAGGGTTTTCTACCTCTGTCTGAAATTTTTTTCTGTATGCGCCTAGGGGCAGTGGAATTGAATTTGAGACCTCATAGACCAAATCTCATCCTCTGCTACTGGACCACAGCCTTTGGCCTTTCTGACCTTGGGAATCATGATCTAGCAAGCATCCTAGTAGCCAGCATGCACTTGCAAACTAAAATATCTAACAGACATTAACCAATATTGGAGATTATGTTAACTTTGAAGTAGTAAAGACATTCCAGTTTTATTGCTCACTACTTTCCTCCTTTTCACCTATACTCAATTCTTGTTAATAAGCAAAACGAAATTTTCTTAGTGAAGTATGTTGTTTGTAGGTTATTTACTTGAAATCCAGAGATTTCATCTTTCACGTACCTAATAGCTTTTCTTATAAATGATCCATGCAGTTTTTTGGAAGAAAACTGGAAGTATTCCGTTTTGCTTCAGTGGACTTTCAGGGTGATTTATATTTCTGAATCTTCATCTTGTCTATCTACATTTTTAAATTAGCGTGAACAGCAGTAATATATTTTCTCTATCTGCACTTGCCAATAGAAGTCTAAAATGTTTTAGTGGGGTGCACCATTCATGCCATTAATTAACATTCTTTTTCCATATACTTATTGATACATAATCTGATATGTGTGCTGAAAGAGTAAATCTGATCTGTGTGCTGAAAAAGTAAATCTGATTTGTGTGCCAAAGAGTAAACTGCTCACTATGAAAATGACAAGACAATTCACGTCAATTTCTCTGATGGAGCAGTTTGTGAAATTCTCTTGCACACTCCTTTACTTTCTTATTAATCATGCCCTCATGGTCCCCTTCTAGTTGAGGGTTTTCAGCAATATTAGGTATTTAGGTATTCAAGGCAACGCTAATTAATTTTGAAATTTTGATTTGTGCAAGATCCATATGTTGAAGTGAGAGGAAAGGTCTTTGGAACACATTATAAATTGTAAACATAGAACTGGATTTGAAGACCAACAATATTAAATTTGTGTCAACTTTAATTGCTATAGTATGTTGGCATGTCAAACGGATACACTACAAAATCCAAGATAATGTGTTTACTTTCGATATAAAGAAAGATATTTATCGAGATTTCAGGGCAAAGAGCTTTAGAAGTTTCAACTAGCTTTACTATCTCGTTAGATTTTTTTCCCTAACAACTTAACTAAATTAGCTGTTTTACAGAATGGTCAAATTCGATAGCCTTCTACAATAACTGATGAAATGAACACTGTTTGAGTTTTATCTATTTGTATTGTCTGCTTTATTATGATATCAATACATCATATTCAGTAATCACCTGAAACCAACATGTGGCATAATATTATTATGAAAAATAGCAAAGTATGAATAATAAATTATGATGCAGTCTTTCTCTTCAGGTTTACAAAGTATTAAAGTATGTTAATTTTGGAGCATGTGTTTTTATTAAAACCACTGAAAAATTGCAGTCTTTTTCTTGCAGAGTCCTCACCAAACAAGCTAATGGTTGAAGATATTACTGATGTGGAAAGACCAATTATTGGTATACCTGCCTTCTCATATGGGTCAATCATGTGGTTGATATCTGGACAAGTGGCACATGCTAGTGAAGGTGTCAATGTGAATATGGTTTATGAGATTGGAGAGGTGTTTGATGTGGGGATCCAGCTTACATACTTGCTTTTGCTACTAGCTCTACTGGGAGCTGGAAGTTTCTTTGTTATCCGTCAAGTCCTTATCCGTAGAGAACTTGATCTTTCTGCTAAAGAATTGCAAGTAAATATCAAATAGTTTAAAGATATCTGATAGCGTAGTTAAAGTATCAAATTTGATTCCTGAACATGCATGTAACATGGTCCTGGTTTCACTTTTTAAATTACCTGTATAGTCCTCTGAAGTAATTTACAGTGAATAATGGTGAGGGAGAATCACTTGACCGTAAAATAATGGGATAGGTCCTCTGAGAATCACATGTGCATACGACTCTTTTGTATGGTGATAGAAATAAACATTTGTGAACTGTGTGATATTGAAATGAATCTCAGGAGCAAGTTCGAAGTGGTGATGGTAGCGGTAGGGAGCTTTTTGAACTTGGAGCTGTTATGCTGAGAAGAAAACTTTATCCAGCTGCAACTAGGTACCTTCTTCAGGCTATTAAGAAATGGGATGGAGATGGTCAGGACCTATCTCAAGTATGTTGTTAACTTGTTATTTCGCAATTAGTTATTCTTAATATTTGAGTGAATAACATGTGAAAGTGGGATGGAGATTATCAAGAAACCAAAACTCTCCTAGTTTTCATTCATATAATTTCTTTTGGTCTCCTTGCTCTCAGTATGATGTTTTTGAAAGGACACATGTCACAAATTCATGTTCCATTGCTCTTGTTTCTTCCTTCACCTCCTTCATAAGTAATTTTTTTTCTACCATTCTTTCGTAAATTTAATAGTACCAATTAAGTTCATATGAAGACATGGGTGATTGGATCGGACTAGAAAAAATAATGGGGTGGGCTAAATGAAAAAAGTTCACGTTTTTCTCTGAATTAGGTCGCCCTGGGCTTCAGCTCACCGTAATTCTAGTTTATTTGCCTCTGCACGTTCCCTGGCATTCATGAATGTTTTTTATGTTTTGGCAGGTTCACAATGCGCTTGGTGTGAGTTATGTTCGTGATGGGAAAATTGACAAGGGAATTGCCCAGTTTGAGATTGCAGTGAAGCTTCAACCAGGTTACGTCACTGCCTGGAACAATCTCGGCGATGCCTACGAGAAAAATAAGGACATGAATAATGCTCTTAAAGCATTTGAAGAAGTCCTACTTTTCGACCCCAACAATAAAATTGCGCGACCCAGGAGAGATGCATTGAAGGATAAAGTAACAATGTACAAAGGAGTTTCTGTCATATCAAGGAAGAGATAAGTGCGGCACGCAACTTCCCAGTTTTCTCATACCCTCTTCTGCGTCATTTAATCTTTTCATGATTTTACACAACTTGTTGACTAATTATACCAGCATGACTGCAGTTTGTACAGGGATTCTGGGTCTGATGAAAAGAGAATGTGTGTTATTGTAAAAAGATTAAACTTCCCTAATCCCTATATATTTTTATAGGCATAAGACCTTGAAGGCTTGCCTTAATCTGCAGGAAATGGAATCAGCGGTCGTCTAATCTACTTTCTTCTACCATGTTTGTTAGCTGAATGTGACATTTCCTAGGTAATGTGGGAAAACTTTGTTTGATTCCTGTAATTAAAAAGTAACATTAGTACATTACCGTCATGTATGCATTTTTTTATTTATCAAAAGAGGGAGATGGGATGACCCCCTTTTGTAACTATTGTAAGATTTTTACTTTGTAATCTTTCAAACTTTTTAGTTTGTCCTTTGACTGCTTCAGAGCTCAAGTATACCCTCTCTGAGCTTTCTGAACTTCCATAACTATTTTAAGGAAATGGAATTGTATGATAGTAATTGACGAATTGGACGTAAAAGTAGAGAAACAATATTAAAAGGAAACGAGAATCGTGGGAAATTACGAAAATGAAGTGGGAAGAAAATCATAAGACAGTGGTTCAATAAATAAACTGATGTAATACTTGTAAGGAGTGTAAATTTAATACTTTATTACTATCTGTGTCCCATAAAGGTCTACTTCCACGGTTTTTCTGTCAACGTAAATTGTTCGTAATCTTTTACTTTATATATTCAACTTTTATCAAATATAAGTTTTTCAACTTTATAAAACTTTTAATCTAGTTTTTGAATATGTAAATTTTATTTTCTAAAAATAATTTTATTATTGACAGGATCAGTTAATTTTATGGCCGGTCAAATATCATAAACCGCATGGAAATTTTTAAATGAGACGGAGGGAATATATGTTATCGACAAATCTAATTAAAAAGTTACAAATTAATTTCCCTAATATATATTCTATACTTTTTAATATTTTAATGTTGATACTTTATGTTATTTACTTATTGTACTTTTAATCATTTAAAATGTAAAATTTTAAAAAGTTAGTTATTTTTCATATTTAATTAGATGATGATAAACTGATTATTAAACTCATGAAAGTGGATGCACCAACTGTTGTTTCTCGTGCGTATGGAATTGTATGATAGTAATTCACGAATTGGACGTAAAAGTAGAGAAACAATATTTATTAAAAGGAAACGAGAATTATGGGAGATTCGAAAATGAAGTGGGAAGAAAATCATAAGTAGTTTAAATTTATGCGGTTCAATAAATAAATGATGTAATTTCATATTCGAGTAGTTTAAATTTACTTAGATGCTTTAAATCTTTAATCAATTAATTAACCAACGTCGACATCCATGAACCAAATTCCCAAGGATTAAAACAAATACTCACTCCGTCAATTAATTAACCAAGGTCGACATCCATGAACCAAATATCAAGGTCGACATCCATCATCCATGACCCAAATTCTCAATGATAAATAATCAATTTATCATTTACCCTACACACTCTATACTTACCATACTACTTTATTATTAAATCACGTGCCAAACCCTAAGGGGACTAATAAAAAAGAACGGGGGGAGTATTAAAATTCTATATATAAAGAAGACATTGATAATCCGTCGTTCATCTCATTCTAATATATATTCATATATTATAAGATAAAAAAATTTATGATTTATTGTATACACACATATGTATGTTGAAGTATATTTGTAGTATAATTTAAGAAAAAGTATGTATACTTATATATTGAGCGGGTCGGGGCGGCACGAGTCAATTCTAATACCCGGACCCGCCCCATTTTATAGGCGGGGCGGGCCCGCCAAATGTCTCGGGCCAGGGCGGGTCATTGCGGGTCGGGTTTTTTTGACATCCCTAAAAAAATTTGTCCCCTTTTAAACCTTTAAGGGAAAACTATCAAATAAGCCCCTGTACTATGCCAATAAAGTCGATTAGGCCCTCGTACTTTACAAACACTCAATTAAGTCCTCAAACTATCAAAAAACGTTCAATTAAGCCCTTTCAGTCAGTAAGTAACCGGTTTCTCGGTTAAACGACGATGACGGCGATGATGTGCTTGAACCCCGGCAACGGCGGCTGTCGGGAAACGGGTTACATTTAACCGGGAAACCGATTATTTACCGACCAAAAGAGCTTAATTGAACGTTTTTAATAGTTCGAAGACTTAATTGAGTGTTTGTAAAGTACGAGGGCCTAATCGACTTTTTCGGTATAGTACAAGGGCTTATTTGATAGTTTTCCCAACCTTTACTGATATGTTGATATCCTAAAAAATTCTACTAATGTCCCCTTTTGGAATGTTTTGAGTGCTTAATCATCATTTTTTTTCTTATTCAACCACAATTATATAATTTCATTTTATTCTCACTTGCTTAAATTCCGATCCAAATCAAACCGTAAAGAATTTTAAGGGACGAATGAAGGATGAAATATATTGGATGCAAAAGGAGTTAAAAGTTGAGTTGTAGCGTAAATAAAGTGTTGTCGTAAAGACAACATTAAATGGTTGTAAGTTGTAACCATGATTACCATGATGATAAAGGTCATACTCTCGTACCTTAAAATTTTGGCAACTTGTCTTTTTTGATTATCTCGTTAGCTTTTTCATTTTCTCTTTTTTAATAAAAAATATGCAATTTCTATTATTTCTCTCTCCTATGAAAAAACTTCAATCACATAATTTTTACTTTATTAATTGTCGTGCGATCAAATATTAAGGAACAAAAAAGTACTTTCACCGTTCTTTAATTCTTGCAACATTGTGACTTTTGCACTATTCACAGACCTTACTTTGACCACGATTTTCTACTAATATACATAATCAAATTATTACGTATAAAGTGGTATTGAATTCCTATCATTGTGAATTTCCAAAATATCAACTTTTTATAATGTTTATTAATACATGATTAAATATAATTACAGTTAAAATTGTGCGTTGATAAACGTGAAAGTGAAACTATTAGAAGAATTAAAAAACGAATAGTATTTACTTTTGTGACGCGAGAAAAATTGCAAGGACCGGGTACGCAACAATATAAAGTATAAACTCGGTAGTAAAAAAAAGAAATCGTGGAGTAAACTCGGTAGTAGATCTTTGACTCTTTTATGTAAATAATGGAGTAATAAAATAATCGTGGAAAGTTGATTCTTTTATGTGAATACACATCACGCATGATGTGTACTTTTCAAATTTGCTTCAGGTCTATACATAGTCCCTATAATGTCAATATTTGTGTTACAAGTAGGGTAGAGAGTCATGATTCTGAATTGGAATGAGCTTAGGATTGGTCACTTTTTTAATCTAAATAATTTTGAAATGCTCTTTGTACACGACAAAGTCTACATGACATTTTACACGTCGGTCAAATTATTTGTGTACAAACAATTTGACCGGCGTTTTTGTGAAGAGAATCAGTTTTTGCACGAAAAAAAGTGTCTGTCCCAGACAAAACAATTGTCTGCCACAGCTAAAAAATCTGTCTATGACACAAACAATCTTTTTTTTAATGTCCGTGTGAGAATGAATTTTCTTCAAAAACGCCGGTCAAATTGTTTGTAAACAGACAATTTGATCGGCTTGTAAAATAAAGTGTACAATGGCGTGTACACGAGATTGAAATAATCTTTTTTAGGACGCAACCAAAAATGAAAATAATTTGGGTTGGTGAATTGAAACTAAAATTGAAAACCGAATCAATAAAAAACAGACCAGAAGTAAAATGAATTAATTCCACTTTTGGTCCTACGAGTTTTATGTCAATTCCATATTTAGTCCGTGTCTTTCACTTTGTCCACTTTTGTTACTTGACTAATGTTTTTTGACCATTTGTGGTCCTTCTCCGGCGATTTTAACCACCGGAAACATGGCCGGAAGGACTACATATGGACGAAAACACAATAGTCATGTATCAAAACTGGACAAAGTGAAAAACATGGACTACATGTGGAATTGACATAAAACTCGTAGGACCAAAAGTGGAATTTATTCGAAGTAAAATACATTATATGATTTTTAATACTCAAATAGATTCATAGACTGCGCTGACCCATATTCCAAATGAATAGTTTGATATCATGTGTCGAAATCACATAAAATCATGTACAATGTATAAGGTAAATATTTCTTTTGCATATGTAAATTTTAAATATTCAGCTCACACATTTCCAAAATTAGGGTATTTGAATTATTTATCCCATAATCAATTTGTATAAGGTAAATATTTAAAAGAAAATCAATAATTTCATTATATTATATTATATCACATCGTATCATTCATGTGATAGAAATTTAGAATTTTAATCAATGCTTAAAAATTGTGTCAAAGATAAGCGTTATTTTATCTAACGATCTTCTCGATTTGTAAATGTTTACTCGCTAGGATTATAAGAAGAAATTTCCCATTAAGAATACGGAGTAATACATATTTGTTCACACAAACCTTTGAACCACTCTCTTCACATCAATATCAAATACCACTTCTTACTCACAAAACATGGACAACCATGATATTTGTCTCTATATACCCACATAGACAAGATATCTGTATTTGAGAATTATCTAAGTACAATATAAAAATCATGTATAAACATATGATGAATTGTCATAAATATAAGTAAACATGTTTTGGAATTCCAAAATGGGACTGATAATTTTTATTATTACCGAAGTAGTAGTCTTTACTGCCATGGTTGAAAAATATTGTCATTAATGGAACTAAATACTATCATGTTAATGCTTAGTACTGTATTAACTTTGACAGTATATATTATTATGTTACTCATATTTCGGGAAAAACATAGCACTCATGCTTCAAAATTCCAAAACATGCTTACTACTATTTGGGGAACTCCTTAAAATATTGCGATGAAAGTCGGGTTTAGGGTTTGATATTTTATACATAAAACCATATGCGCAAAATAATGGTGTGCAAAGTGAGCAATAAAACCGCCTCACAATTATAAACTTATATGGGATAATTTAGAAACCTGTGTTTTTTTTCTTAAATTCCATGCAAAATAGTTGTTTCTTTTACTTTTTGCTTTGCAAAAAAATTGTATGGTGTGCAAAGTGAGCAATAAAACCGCCTCACAATTATTGAGTCTTAATGATTTACTTATACTTTAAAAGTCAGTAAATCACAATAAATAGCGTAAACTCTTTTTTTTGACAAAGCTTTCTAATCTATTACAGTATCTTGTTCTAAATAAGTAAACTCTTAAAACTCTATAATTTGTATGTTAAATATTTATTTTGCACCAAAAGACATGGTGTCCAAATAATGTAGTCCTCTAGCAAATGCTAGTAGGTAAGCTAGCTAACAAGTGCAATTAGTGGGGTTGGCGTATGTGATTTCCCTCACGGGCCTCACACCATTCTTTTCAAGTATTGACCCTTTGAAAGACACCAAACACTTCTAAATATATCCATATACAAGACAAAAACAATTGTGTTAGGTAAATATAATGTCATATA